GATGAAATATCAATCAGTGGCTCAGCAAGAATCTGAACAACACCTTTCAAAACTCTTGAGTGCGAGGGATGTGGAAATGAGTGATTTTACATCACTTGGCTTTAGAAGCAGCTAGTATTTTGAGGAGAGTTAACGTTTGCTCCCTTCCTTGTTTCCAGCTGTTAACGTTGCATGACACCAATTAAAACACGGTAAGTATTTCTTCTCAAGTGTTTGCTTCCCTTGAGGAGGCTATACAGTCAGAAGCAGAAGTTGTATCAATGCTGATGATGTTATATATAGATAGATGTATGCGTGTGTGTGTGTAAATATATACACACATATATATATATATATGTATGGGTGTATGTGTATTATATACCACTTCGATATCCTCAACTTGATGAAAAGCTTTGGGAAAAGAAACTCATTGTGTGTTTAGCATGTGTAAATGCAACTGACTGACAGAAGCACAATATAAATGATCAGGGAGATTTACAGGATTTTGGATTACAAGGCTTTTGGATTACAAAATGTGATCTGCTAACAGTTCACTGGGCTGAAGCAGTTTACTAAGCAGTTCTCAGAGGACTCAGTGTTTTTAACAGTGACATTTCCAAATAGTCACTTCAGAAGCTGGAATTTCTAGTAGTGAAACCACAGTTCCGAAAAGTGCAAGTAGCGCATTGCCCGTTTGCGCCATTTGGTTGTCAGCCTCACACCATGAGGGTTTTGCCTTCTCTTGCCACCCTGTTCCAGGCCAGCCCAGCAAAGAACGCAGTTCTGAAACTAAAGATTTTATCTTGGTTCACTTTTTTCTTCTAAAAGTAAACATGCAAACATGACCACAGCCGAAGTTAAAGGCACAAGAGCTAGAGCAGAGGTGCTACTCACAAAAGCAAGAGGACAAACTCCTTGATTTTAGAGACTGGCAATAACATGTAGTACCTCAGCCTGTTCCCCTGGGTAGGTACCACTGAGGGGAGGTACCTCAGTGATACCTCAGCCTGTTCACCTGGGAGTCTTTACAGGAAAAGTAGCTGTTTTTCCTTAATGAAGGTCGTTGGAATAAGCCCAGGGCTGCTTTGCTCTGCTGCCTTATAACAGAATAAGTTTGCTTTGCCAGAAGTGCATGTTGATGCACGAAGTTGCAGTATCTTTTCATTTCTAATTCTGAAAATACCTTTTCTCAGAGATAGATAGATCTGCATCTATTGAAGTCCTTGAAAGCTGAGTGTTACATATTAGCACTTCTTCACAGTCCTCTTTGAAACAGTGCTGCAGCTGAGAGCCTCGGAGCCGTGACACCGTTCACGTGTGATGATCCACGGGCAGCTGTGCCCTCAGCATGGGATTCTCAGTTGTGAGAAGCTGCAAGAGGAAATGGTACTTCCTTTCCAGGAACGATGCAATATGCCTGTCCATGCTTGTGCAAGGGGACTGACAATTCTGATTTGCTTTCCTTATATTTAACTTCTGGCAATCAACTCATTTGTTTAAGGGAAAGTTTTTTTTAGTTAAGAGGCAGCCAGAGTTCTTGTAGGGAATACATCTTGTTTTCCTGTAGGAATGTGGTTTGCCTGTAGGGGTGGAGAAACCTGCTGTGGCTTGTGCAGAGGGTTTTGTGCTGAGCAGAAACTCGGCAGCTTCCTGAGCCGAAGTGACAAGAATACTTTTATATTTATCTGTTCCTTAAAAAAAAAAAAGTAAAAAATAACGGGAGGTGAGATTTCCTTCATTTTTCAGCCAAGCAAAATACTTTGATTTTTTTTATATATTTAACAAAAAAAATAACGTGATGTAATAGCACGTACTAAGTAAATCAGGAGAATTTAAAAACAGGGGTAGGGGTGCAGTGTATCAACATGTCCACTGATAGGTTTTCATGGCTCTGTTGGAGTCCACAGAGATTCTGTCCTGACTTATTTTATCAAATTGCAGCTGTGCTGCTTAATGGGGATGAGAATGATCAGGGGTTTCAATCATGTAGGATCCCCAATCTTAATCCTACTCAGAAAAGCTAAGGCTTTTGCTCATACCTACATGAACATGACTGGCTTTCTTTTTGCATCCTTAACAGTAGATATTTGAGTGCAAATAAGATGACATGATGCACAATGAGAGCTCCATATATTATTATTAGCACTTTCATTTGGGTGGTATTGATTTGAAAAGTCTCACCTGGAAATCTAAATCATGCTTACTTTGATGTGATCAATAGAGATCTAAAAATGCACTGACCATACTTACACAAATACCACATGGATTTCCCTTTTTTTTTTATATATATATACTCTCTCTCTCTCTCTCTCTCTAAACAGCATAATGTGATTGTTTTTTAACCCTTAGGATTTTTTATGCCATGCAACTACTGGTTAGCCTCGATGATAGAAATGCAGTACAGTCCAGTCCATAGAAACAAATGGTTGAGATTTGAAGTATTATAAGCTATGCTAGAAAATATACACAGTTTTGAAAAAAATCCAAAACAGACTAAATTAAAAACAAACAAAAAAAACTGTTTGTTTCCTTTTGGAGCAATTACAGCTGCTAATAAACTACATTTACTAGAATGGTTAAAGTACGCAGGAAAACAGAAATTTTGGCTGTCCTGTGTTTCGAGAGGTTACAGTCAGCACTAAGGAAATCAGAAATTCTTCTGTGCTTTTTTGTGAAAGGATGGCCTCCCGTCTCAGCTGTCCTCTCAGCACAGACTTGCCTACGCCTCTTCCCTCAGAGCCCTTGGTACTGAATTTACTGTTCACCCATTCAGGGACATGACCTTACCAGCAAAAGGACAGGCCTTGATATTTTCATTGCTTGGTTTTGAAACCTAAACCCTCCTTTTATCTCAGAATAGACAATAAATATGGGTATCTAGACAAATAATAGTTGCACTTTTTAATTTTTTTTTCCCTGCTGAGGAATATCCAGGCTTGACATCCTCTAAAAATCCAAGGTTGTCTCTGCTGTCTTGCCTCCTGCTTCTGGGAGACTTGGAGTCTCTCTCTAGAAAGCCTGGAAAATCTGTCAGTCTCATGTAGTCTAAAGCAGCTTGCTTCCTCCTGCTGCTACTCTTCCTCCTGCTGTCTTCATTGCTTCTGCTTCTCTTTACTATTCTCCGCTTTCTTAGGTCTTTAAATTACTGTTGAGGAAAGAGTGGCAAAGACAAGCTCAGAGAAGAATCCCTGCTATGGCTTGCATGCAGATATATTCCTGCATTGGCTATGTGCTAATCAGGAAGCAAGCAGCATCTGCCTTCTTAATTGGGTTGGTTTAAAGTTTATGCTGTCTGTGCATTTGCAAATTATGGCAGTGATCCCGCAACACTGAGGTTAATGAGATTACTTGCATACATAAAGTTATTCGTATACATAGACCTTTGCTGACTGGACTTAGTGGTCTGGAGGATTATGTGGAATAAAAATCAAGTAGAAACTGTATGAGATTTTTCTCTCATCTTTTACATTAATATTTTTAAATAGTTTTGCTGACTCTTTAATATTTATAAGGAGCCCTGATTTTTTCTATACATCTTCAATTATTCATCTGACTCAGAAGCTTTAGACAAACCGAAAGGCTTTTTAAATCTAAATAGTGTTTTCAATTTTCTCTCTTCTATTCTAATATATTGATTTTTAAAAGAAAAAAATACAAACTGTGACTTAGAGAATAATTTGAAGAACATTTATGTACTTAAGTATGACGGTGGCCTCAAGCTCTACCCCCACAATAAATGTTGAGCTAGTGCTTTGGTAAGGGTGGTTCTCCCAAATTAGGGAAGCATAGGGAAGGAAAAAAAGTTTGTTTCTTTTTTTTTTTTTTTTTTTAGTTGAGGCAAATTCCAAGTTGAGTTGGTCCTAGGAACATCTCAGGCAAATAGGTTTTATTTTCTCTTTATTTTTGTCTAAGAGCATTTTTAGTCTGCAAGTCTGCCCTGGTGTATATTCTTCAATTTTGACCAAGAAAGAACATAGCAGCTTCCCATTTTTTTTTCCACTGGGTTAGCAATTAGGCCTGTTCCCATTACGATGCTTGTTGAAGTGAGATATGCAGTCAGTATTTCGACACTGAAAATAAGATATAACCACAGACCTCATTTTCTCAAAGCCCATTTTCCTCCTGTCTTCCTTTGGTATCACAGTCATTAAACTGAAGATGTTTGTCATAATTTCTGAGAGAAAGCAAGCAGAGTGTTAAGCCTGAGTTAAAGAGATTGCTCTGGTTTATCTTCTCATCTCTAAATTGCAGGCACCTGTACTAGATTTTTTACTTTTGTGCAGACCCTGGTCACAGCTGTTTTACCCCTTCCTTTTCCTTGGACATGCATGTACTTGAAATTGATAGATAATTTCTTCTTGGAAGCAGTAGTTTTCACTTTTTTAATCTTTAATGTGTTAAATAAGTTGCTGCATAACCACTAAATAACCTCAAACCCAGCAGGTAGTGCAAGTTTGGAGATGAGTGGAGGAAGATCTGCATGTTACAGCAAGTGAAACATGGAAATTCCATGCATATCTGCCAATTCATCCAAATGTAACCTTTTGAAATAAACTGGAATGTTGCAACTGTTAACTACTCTTACTGTACAGGTGAAGTGATTCCAAGGCTGCCTTATGGCATTTAATTTTAGGTAATTCCTGCTTTGACATGATTTTCCAGAGAGGAAATGAGAATTTTAAAAAAAGAAATGTTCACCCTTGAATTCAGCTGCAAGAACGTTCTTCCTCTGAAAACTGCGAGGAGAAAACCTGAAATCCATAACCATCGACAAGGTGGTTAAACTAAAATGTTTATAGCATACATGTAGCTTAATGTGGTATCATGTTTTCCTGTAATGCTGAGGAGATCCTGCATGCTTTTACAGGAGTTTGGTTACTAGTCATCAGCTTCTCAGTTTTACCTCTAGCCTTCTGAAAGTTCTGAACTCATGTGGAGAATAGCTTGAAACATTCAGGTGGAAGATATGTGTGCCTGTCTGCAAGCTTCTGATGAGATTCCCCCATTTTTCTTTCCACCAGGTTTGGAGGCGACCAGCCAGTGTATATCAATATTATTAGAGATCCTGTCAATCGATTTTTATCCAATTATTTTTTTCGACGTTTTGGAGACTGGAGAGGAGAACAGAATCATATGATCCGTACCCCCAGCATGAGGCAGGAGGAAAGATATCTGGTATGTTTAAACAAACAGCTTTTAGTGGAACATTTCTGATTTCTCAGTGTATTTAGGTGATGCTGATATTTCAAACTGGTTTATTGAGAAGCGTGAGAATGAGGCATCTTCAGTTTCACCTTTTTCACTTGTTTTCACGCTACCTGGTCTTGAGTTTGGTCAGTTTTAATATGGAGACTATTGTGTACGAATTTAATTATCCAGTTTTATTTCATAAAAGCTATCAGCAAGGTCCAAGTGCTGTTGAATTAGAAGCCTGTCATTGAGTTCAATGAGCTTTGGATCTGGACTACATAGTAGCTCACATAATAATTCTGCCACTATTTATCACTGTGAATTTTTGGACAGATTTTTGGATTGAAATGGAGGCAATAACTAGGCAGCTTCACTAGAGGAAATGGGAAAATTGAGCAATTAAGTGAGCGTAAGCCTTTATTGTTTTTGCTGGTAAATTGTACAAAATGTTCCTCATACCAGGCCTCCTATATCTTAGTTCTTGTTTTGATTTTGTTGCTTTTTTTGGATTGAAAAGGTAGTAACAGAGATGGTTGAGCTGCTATTCTTACAGCAGTTCTAATTTTGTGCAACAGCTAAACTGTCCTAATTCCCCTAAGCCTCTGTCACCAGCCAGGATCCCATGCACAAAGAACAAGAAACATGGAAACTAGAATGTCTGTTTCATTGGATGATGTCTGGTAGCTCTGCAGTTTGCATGCACACCACCACTTGTACGAGGTGCTGCACCCAAAGAAGACCCAAAGGTGACGTTAAACCTTACCTCGCTATAACAGAAGTCCAGTTCGGTTGGATTCAGCCTTCAACCGTAGGTGACCCTGCAGAAGTGCAGTGGCACAGCTGACTGCACATAGTTTGATGATCTGCTATGAGGTGTTGCAGGCGCAAATTAAATGTCAAAATAAAGTCAGGAAGGTTTGTGACTTCAGGAGAATAGAGAGAAAAAAATGTTTTGAAGGAGCAATAGGGATCCAGACACGTATTCCAGTCCTAGTTGAGGGCAGGTGATTCCAAGGAAGTCTGGGATTTTTTCTATATGAGTGAGTGGGTTGTGCTCTTTTCTTTTGGACTTTTAATACTGTTACCTGCTCACAGGGTTTTTTCATGACAAACAAGTTTATAAATCACAAATAATTAAGAAGGGTACTCCTTTTTTTTCAGTATGTAATTACATATAACTTTAAACTTTCAGCACACCTGCCATCCATAAACTCATTTCAAAAATGTTGCAAGGTGTTTCTCATTTGCTCTATAGCTAGGGTTACTCAAGAGCTCTCTAAGTCAGCTGAGGTTCTGACATCGTGGTGTTGTGTTGGGAAGACAGTCCAAACAGTTTGTACCTCGTGTGCTGTGTCCAGGAGCTTTGGTGCCTGCTGCATGAACGGGACAGGCAGTTTGCAAAAGTGCGTATGGCGTGGATCTGCTGCTCTACTATTACTTTGCTAGAGCTGTCCTAGTTTCCTTTTAGAAAAAAAAATCTAAAGATTAGCAGTACTTCACCCTACTTTTCATTTGAAGTGGAATTTGTGGTAATTGCCATCTCTCAAGATTGCTTTACTTTGTAAATCTTGTTATTAATATTTGTTTCATTCTGAAGACACAATGTGTACAGTGGGTAGAATTTTACTTCAAGCAGAACTAGAACTTAGTAAATAGATTAAATTACTGTTGTATTTTTGTTGATTTAAAAACTGATAAAAGGAAATGGCCTAGTACTTTCATATGTGTGTTGAGATATGCTTTAGGAGATTATATTCCCCAATTATACACATGCACACACGTACATATATGTGTATATTATATATATAAGAACATACACATGTGTATGAAATGACACACAGATGCGCACATCAGTTTAGAGGCTATAACCAAAAGGAAATAAAAATTGCCTTCCTGTTGGGATCATCAGCTGGGTGGTTCTCCACAAAAGGCAGTTTGTCTTTCTAAGAGACCCTATTGGCAACCTTTATGAAAATTATTTCTGCTTTTTCGTTTTGATCCTCTCTGTTTATAGCTCTGTATTAGAAACCTGGAAATGGTTTTGGATGCATCCTCCATCCCTCCTTGGCAAAGTCTCATGTCAGTGGCGCTGCTCAAAGCGAGTGGTTGTTCCCGTCAGGGTAAAGCACGGGCCACCTGCCAGTGCGGTTCATTTCAACAAAAGCCAGTCGGCCAGAATGCTAAGTGTTTTTAAGGCCTGTGCTTTCCAACCAAATAATATTGTACATTGTGCATTTTTATATTTTCCATGCTGGTGCTAGGAATTCTACTGCCATACGTTGTAAAACTCAGGTAGTAGATTTTTGGGCATGGTAGCTTCAGAAGTCTGCTGAATCAATTGCCTGATCCAGCTATGAAGAAAATGTTCTGTTAGTCTTACCTCTGCCCATGAGCCAGCACAGCCCTTAAGCACACAAAGGACGGCTGGCCTCACTGCTGTGCTCCTACTGTTCCATTTTTTTCCTGGAGATTTCTTTTTTTGTTGAAAACTAACCATATAGCATTTTTTACTTAATAGGGAGAAACTTAAAGGATAGGCTTAGGCTCAGGTAATCTCTGCGTTTCAAATGCTTTATGAGTTATTTTTCTTATTAAATAGTTTCTTTACTGATCACAGTGTTAAATCTAAGTGTTTGAGATGAGATGTGCTTGACTATGTGCAGAAACATGAAAGCGGGAGGATGCAAGAAGCTTTTACTCTTCTTCCATTATACCTCAAATCAAAAGCTAGGAAAATACAGAATAATTGCTCAACAACATTGAGCTTATTGCTTAAGAGCCGCAGAAGCCTAGTGTTGGCAGCAGATACAAGCTTCCAGAATGGATGGGAAAGTTGTAAGTGTGTACCAAGGTAGTGTTGGCAGCAGATACAAGCTTCCAAAATGGATTGTTGTAAGTGTGTACCAAGGTTGTAAGTTGTAAGTGTGTACCAAGATCCAGTAATTCCTCTGTTTCTGGCTCCAGAAGAGCAAGGTTTGCTTGGAGGAAAGGTGCACTTGTTAGGCAGCTGAGATATTCAGGGACTAACAGTGCTTTTCACTTCAGAGTGAATCTGTGGGAGCTCAGCACCTCTACAAAGTGGGCTCTTATTTAAGAGAAAAAAAGCATTTTAAAATAAGGTTTTCTAGAGTTCTGAAGCAACAAACTCCTGTGTGGCCGTTTGGTTGCAGTATCTTTAAATGGAGGCATTTCCTCTCCTCAATTCTGGTCATGAAAAACAAGAGGATGAAAAAAAAAATACCCTTGAAGTTTTGTACATCTTTGGGTGCTATTTTTTAACTTAGAAAGTCCAAACTGCTGACACTGCAAATATCAGAAGCAGAGACGGAAATTTCCACTGTGCGCTGATCATCTGAAATTTTCTCTGAATAGAGCTTCAGGCTTTGACTCGGTTCCAGAGAAAACAACCATTCATTCAAGACTCAGATAAGTTGTTTTAAATGTTTCGGTTGATGTCTGTGTTTACCAAAATTTATTCAAAGCCAAGGCAGAAAACAAGTCCTTTATTCAGAAGTCAGATATGGTGCAGGCAGCTGCTGCAATGTGAGACTTTCCACCCAGATCAGCCAGTTCCTTGCCTTGACCTGGAAAGGGCACTCACTCTGCTGAAGTGACTTACTATCAGTCACCCAAACAGACTATTTCCAAGCTTCTCTGAATTAAATAGTGGCAATGCTAGCCAGCCTTATTGTATAGAAGGTAATGGTCTGGAACTACGAGAGTTGCTCCAGAGAGAGGCTCAAGCACTCTCAGGCGAGGGCTGCCCTACTTTTGCTCACACAAGATGAGGGAAATTCATGAGAATGAATTTAAATGCATCCTAGTGAGTATTCTGCAGGTTGAACTAAAGTTCTTAGGGTAAATACACTTCAGTAAAGCAAATACACTATCAGTACAGCTGAAACAGCTTCATGCTGAGCAATAGAACAATATGAACCAGATGATTTCGTTTAAGCCTTGGAAGTTGTGAAGATGAGAAGCACTCAAAGAGTGTGACTACCATAAATATTTGAAAGCCTTGTATTACTAGCAGGCCATCTGGAAAGGACGTTTTTAATTAGTTAATAATTTGTTACAACTGCAGTGTGAGACATGAAATAAAAAATTGTGTAGCATTTTTCATCTTTAGCGCATACTGAACCTTTGATCTATGACTGCTGAGGTTGAATGAGTTTGTGAAATGGTACAAGCCATCCAGTGCATCCAGTGGAGTGATCCTAGTATCAGTGAGATCAGAATAATAGTATGGTTCCTGACTTATGCAAGCACAAGATCATCATTGGTGTGAAAAATAGTTAAGTAAATGAAGAACTTGTCATCCACCTACAGAACATTTCAGACTTTCATTGTAACTAGGGGTTAAGTCTGCACCCTATCTCTTTCAGGTTCAGCACAGTCTTTCGAGTTCCTCTCTTTAAAGTAAATATCCTTTTTCTGTCAAAAAAAGAGATAATACTCTATCTATATTCAGCCTCAGTTATGCTATAGCTTGCTGTACTAAAGCACATAATCCCCTAAAGGAGCTTCTATCATTTTCTCTTTTAAATTGGATATAAACACTTAAATAATGGTAAAAAGTTCAGTACGATCACAACAATGGAGCAAAGTAAAATTCAAAGGATGTCAGAAAATTTTCTAGTCACATTTTTTGAAATAATATAGATCTCTCCTGTGGCAAAGATGGCTTTTTATGTTAAATATTTGAGTCATCTTTATGTTGATTTTTTTACATAGAATTAAAACAGTTTTTTAAAAATACTGAATAGTTTAACCCAACAATCATTTTTTTGTGTTCTTGGATTTTGAGAATTCACTTTGGTAACTGCACTGGTTTTCCTTAAGATAAAGACTAAGCAATTCTATTATTTATTTCCTGAAATTTCTATCCACAGTGAAAAAATATGACTTTACCAATTGCTTTGGTGCTCTCATGGCAGCATCATAGTTCTTATCTTTATTTGGATAATACAAATATTTAACGATGG